GCGAGCTTCTCACCGGACGGAACTCACGACAGATGATTAATGGACATAGTACCTGTCATGACTTCATCTCGCACAAAATGATAATCAGAGCAAACATGCTACATCGGGTCATGTAGAACAGAATTCTTCGTGCCATAGATAGCAATGTTTTGAAAACAGGACCGGACATCGAACCGGACAAGCCACTGGGTCAAGAGTCAACCGGTCGAACCGGGTTGACTCGGGTCAACGACCCGGTCAACGACCCATTACTTGGTATATAATACGGAGTATTCATATTTATGTTTAGATAATAAAAAAATTAAATAATATCATATTCTGTGGACTATTTTGTCGTGATAATAAAATATTATCACATAACTTAAATATGCATATTATTTCTAAATAATACGAAGCACATACTCCCTCCGTCTAACTTTAATCTTTCCATTTGAATCGGACACACATATTAAGGAAATATGTAAATGTTATTCTCAATGTTAAATAAAATATTTAAAATTATATTTTTTTTCTTCTTCATGTTATTTTCAATGTCATTGTTCATATACTCTTTCACACTTTCCATATTTTATTATAATTTGTATACATTTCTTCATTTTATAGATGATAATATTTGTTTAGATATAAATTATTCATTATTATTTAATACTCCATCCGTTTGAAAAAAGTGTTCCTATTTTGACTTTGTGTAAAAATAAGGAAGTATTAAATTGTAGTTGACTTCCAATTTTGCCCTTGATGTGATAGATAAAAGTAAGATGTGATGGATAGATTATTAGAGATAAAGTATGATGTGATAGGTAGGGTATGAAAAAGTAAGGGTAAAAGTTGTTTTTTTAATAAAAAGTGGAAGTGTTTTGTTGGAAGTGAAAAAAAATGAAAGAAGAAGTGTTTTAAAAAGCGGAGGGTCGCGAGTGTTTTAATGAAAGAAGAAGTGTTTTAAAGAAGAAGTCTTTTCCGTTCAAATCCTATCTCCATCATTTAATTTTATAGACAAAAAAATTAAAAAAAAAACTTAAAAAAGAGACCCGCGAGTCAGCCGGGTCGACCCGGTTCACCGGTTCCGCCGGGTCTACCGGGTTTGGATGGGTTGATGCATATTTGGGTTTTACATTTGAACCGGACCGGAGTCCTCACCGGTTCACGGTCCGACCGGTTGGACCGGCCGGTCCGGTTCAGTTCTAATAACATTGATAGATAGTAGATTCATTGTCGCATTAGATGTGCAATTTTGAGAGGAATACCAAGAGCATCTCTAATATAACAGAGCCACATAACTTTGGCCACCCTCTGGTCATGGCAAAATATCCAGCCACAGTAGAAGATCGGGAGACACAATTTTGTTTCTTCGTACACAAGGAGATGAGATTCAATCCAAGCGTAAAAAGGTAGCCAGTAGAAGAATGATATGATGGTCAAGTTTGTCGTTTTCAGTAAGAATTAGAATAAACAGAAATGTCGAGAGAATCTTTTTGAAAGAGAAGTCACGGTTCAAGCTACCTTTTATTTAACGGAGGATGCGCTTCAATGCCAACTAATGATGCTCAGTTCAATTGTGCATGCTCAAAGACACCCTTTTAAGTGCATACTGAATATCTGGACGAGTAATTGCCAAATAGTGCATGCCACCGACATTGATGTGGAAGAGAGTGGGAACTGAGAAGAGAGAGGACGATTCCCGAATCCTTCAACCGCTATAGGAGTGGTGGCGGGTTTGCAATCGCCTAAACCAGTCTTATTGAGAAGATCAGGAGTATACATAGTTTGAGGAAGCAAAATAGTAACCTTGGTGCGCAAAACTTCAACGCCATGAAGTGTAGAAGACCCAAATCCTTTAGTGGGAGGTCACGATGCACAACCTATGTGATATGAGAGATAAGAGATGATAAATTTCTGTAATGACGATATCATGATGTACACTAGAGCTGTTAAAAAATATCATATTCAAAGAATTCGTCCATGATCCGAGCTAATTTCAATCTAAAAAATAGACATCTGATTTGGTTAAAATGCTTTTGAATATATTCCGGATCAGATTCCCCGAAAAAGCCAGATCATATATGGAATGAAATATCTTATATTTAATATCCATGGATATCAAAACTTAATATTTGGAACACATAAATATACAAACTATACCAACACCACTAACCCGATGCATTTTAATTAGACCAAAATCTAAGCCTAGTGCTCCAATTTAGTCCGCTATTCTTCTCGCTAAGACCAAAGGGTGTGGGTGAAGGGATGGTGCCGTGATCGTTGATTTCCCAACCATGTCAAACTAGAATGGGAAGGGAACACTACCCCCTCCCCCGTGATTGTGATGGTAGTGATGCTTATCACGCGAACGTATACCTCCTCAACTAGTTGTTGCAACAACTAATTTTTTATAATTAATTTTTTTTCTATAATTAAAACCCCCCTTCACACCTCAACTTTACACCCTCAATCCATCTTCTTTACTATATTTCTAAATTTTTATCCTTTTCATTCTCACAATGTGGACGTCCTCCAAATCCTGATGAAGCTAAAACTCTTTTCACAAATACAATGGCACAAGCGGTTCAAATTCTTATGCACCAACAACAAAACACCGAACCAGTTGAATCACGTAGAAGAAGAAGAACCCTTAACAAAGATTGAATCAGTGTTCCTATTTTTTCATCTCACACTACAAATTACGTGATTTTTTAATATTATTTTAAATTTTATCAAACTAATGCATAGGTGGGCACGAAGATTAGTTGCGGATTATTTTCCTGAAAATTTGCTCTATACTAAGGAACAATTCAGGCATAGATTTTGCATGAGCCACCATCATTTTCTCTATATTGCCAGCGATTTGGCGAGTGCAATCCTTTTTTTACATTGCAACATGATGGCCAATAGAAAGTAGATTTTTGGTGCAATACAACCACAAGTACTATCTTGCCGATGGTATATATCTAGACTACGTGGCCATAGTAAAAATTATACCATTCTATGATGATCCGAAGATAAAGAAATTTGCCAAATACTAAGAATTGACAAGAAATCATGTGGGATGTCTTTTTGGTGTGCTAAAGTAGAGAAGACACACTATACAAAACCTAGCGTGAGCTTTCTCATTCAAAACATTACGAAATGTTATGTACACTTACTGCATCATACATAACATGATTATCAAAGACAAATGACATGTGATATGCAAATAAGATCAGAATGGTGTCAATGAAAACGTTGAACAGGTAGATGAAGCATAACAAGATATGTAACACCCCGACCCGCGTAACCCGAATACACAGACCAGCAGATCGGGTTGTCACTAGATTAGCACCCAAATACATCTTATTTTTAAAACACTTCAAAGCATATAATTCAAAAACAATATTTAAATATCCATCATAGTTAACAAAATGGTGCGGAAGCTTAATTAATTAATTCAAAACAAACCTTTTGGTTCTAACCTGAGAACATAATAAATTCAAACGGTAATAGAATTAGATTTAGGAAAATAATTATTTATTATTATTATAATATAAAATCTTTACATTTTTTATTGAACTGTAACATCTATTTCATGCACAACATTTTATACAAAAGTACAAACTTAACAAACTATATATCGTTGGTCACCTTTTTCACGAGATCTATCCAACTACCTAATTTTTAGATAAAATGGTTGACTTTACAAATAATTCATATTTTTAATTTTTAAAATAAAAGAAATAATATATTTTTTCTCAAAATAATGGCTAACTGCTAAGCTGGTTTTCGGGTCGTTACAAGATCTCAACACGCATACACACCAGACATTTGTGTGTGTCTATCTGGTTGAGCATTTATGGAATTTCGCTACACTATTTCTGGAAGATGAATAATCTTTTTTATACCTTACTTTATTCCTCTTTTTTCGCATTATGTCACTGTTATTTTAAATTAATTATTAATAAAATATTTATTTAATGTTTTTTATTTTAAGTAATTTTAATTTAAGTAACTATAAAAAATACTCCCTCCGTTCAGCTTTTATCTTCCCGCTTTGACCGGGCATAGAGTTTAATAAAAGTTAAAATTTTCATTGACTTTCCCATAATGCCCCAGCTTTTCTTTCACATCATTTGTTAGAGCATGTATCGTAACTTACCTACATTCATTTTCCTGGTTGGGGAGGGAGTACAGAAACACATAATTCCCTTTGTCACTTTTGTTGGTTCTGTCTCTCCCTTCAAAAACCATGACCAATATGGAATTGCTCCTTCGAAGTTTAATTTCCTTGAAAAAAAATGTCATAGTTCGTGAAATGCTGCATATTGAAAAAATGATCTTAAAATTGAAAATGGAAATCGGAATTGAAGGGGAAGCTTTCAGCAGAGACTTATTTAGATCTGAAGGCATGACCACTTATTCATCTTTGATCTCAATGAATTGAAGATGACGATGAGGAAGAAATTACGAAGACTTGGAATGTAGTGTTGATCAATTCTTAAATATAAAATAAAAATTAGGGATTTAATCATGTGTACCTGATAATCCTGTAAACGCAGTTAGGGATGAGGCCATGATTCTCACACAGATCGAGTTCCCTTTTAGGGTGTATTGTTATGATGGCTAAGGCGAGGGCGAGAAGAGGCGTAAGATTGGTGTGTCGATCTCTGCCTAATACCTCTATTTATATACACCCAAGGGGAAACCCTAATTAGGTCAAAAGGGTAATTACGTCCATCGAATAATTACCAAATAAATACATAGGGTATTTATTAGGTCAATGATCAATTAATTGGATAAATGATAACTCAGGCCATATAATAAAAACGTGTCCAACATTCTCCCACTTGGCCGAGTAATCATTTATGATGAGTATTAGATAAGTCTGATCAGATTTTAATACTCATTTTAGTTCTAAACTAAAATTGTAGCAGAGAAATACAGTCATAGAATCGATATTCAATTCAAGACCCCCATTAATCATACTACAATACCAAATTTAAAACTTAAATAAGCTAAGGATCAAATTGACAATTAAGCCCATAAGATTATTTTGTACATAAATGTTGTCTATATGTCTTTAGGCATGCGTAGACACATTCAGAGACAAAACAAACAAAACAATGAGGAAATTTTATTATTAAATGTAAGCAAGTACAATATGCAACTAAATAAGGTCTTTAGATAACCCCATCTTCGAAACATGTTCTTCGAAAATCTTAGGAGGGAGACCTTTAGTCATCGGATCCGCAAGCATATTCTTAGTACTTATATGCTCAATACAAAGTTTATTTTCCTCAACTCGCTCACGTACGAACAAGTACTTTGTATCAAGATATAAAGCAGCGCCAGTCGAACTGTTACTGTTCGAGAAACTAACGGCGGCTGAGTTATCACAATAAAGCTTCAATGGTCGAGAGATGGAATTAACTACTTTGAGTCCAGTGATGAGGTTTCTGAGCAACATNCCAGCTAACATAAAGATATACCCTGAAGTGGATTTCTTGTCATCTTTGCACTTAGCAAAATCAGAATCAGAATAACCAACCACTTCTAAATTATCACTCCTTCTGTAAGTCAGTTTATAGTCTTTTGTCCCTTGTAGATATCGAAGAACTTTCTTAGCTGCTTTCCAGTGATCAAGACCAGGATTGGTCTGATAACGACCTAACATTCCAGCAATGTAAGCGATATCTGGACGAGTACAGACTTGTGCATACATAAGGCTTCCTACTACTGACGCATAAGGTATCATTCTCATCTGTTCTTTTTCAACCTCTGTTTTCGGACATTGAAATAAACCGAAAACATCTCCCTTAACTACTGGAGCCACAGAAGGAGAGCAATGTTGCATGTTATAACGTGTAAGGACACGCTCAATGTAAGCCTTTTGAGATAATCCCAAAATACCATTGACTCTATCTCGGTGTATTTCGATGCCAATAACATAAGAAGCCTCTCCGAGATCTTTCATGTCAAAATTACGCGAGAGTAAGCGCTTGGACTCATGCAACATGTCTAAACTATTACTTGCCAATAGAATGTCATCTACGTAAAGGACAAGTATAGAAAAGTTGCTCCCACTCATCTTGAGGTAGGTGCATTGATCCACTTGATTCTTTATGAAACCTTCTGACTTCAAGACTTGATGCAACTTTAGGTACCATTGACGTGATGCCTGCTTCAACCCGTATATGGACTTCTTTAGCTTACAGACTAAGTGCTCTTGACCTTCATATTTGAATCCTTCGGGTTGTTTCATGAACACTTCTTCATCCAAATCGCCATTAAGGAAAGCGGTTTTGACATCCATCTGATGTAGCTCTAAGTCAAAGTGAGCTACAAGGGCCATAACGATCCTTAAGGAATCCTTTCGAGAGACAGGAGCAAAGGTCTCTTGATAGTCAATTCCCTCTTTCTGAGTGTAGCCCTTTGCAACCAATCTCGCTTTGTAGCGTTCAATGTTTCCATTCGGGTCCAGTTTTGTTTTGAAGACCCATTTACATCCTACGGGTTTTACACCGTTGGGTAATTCAACCAAATCCCAAACATCATTTTTCTTCATGGAGTCAAGCTCTTCAATCATGGCTTTA